TCTAGTTCAGAGACTTGATGTGCTAATAGCTGATATTTCAGAAAGAAAGATCTGCTAGTCAGTGAGGTTGATGAAGTTATATTCACTTATACTTTAAGTACACTTCATTTGTTTGGTTTTTTAGTTGTCCTGGATTATAGAATATTGTCAGTCATAACAGATGAAAATTTTGCATCTTACAAACATTTTTGAATTTGTTTAATTTTTTTATTTTTTACATGCTTAATCTACATATATTTACATGTATATGTTTTGGGAAAATTTCTGATGAGGCATTATTTCAAATGATAACTTGCATTTAATCTTGGGAATTGAAATTAGAAGAATCATTAATAAAATTCCTTCTGATATTAGCAGGCATGTAGACATGTGTTATTTCTAGACAGACAAATGCCTGGTATACATTGAAGCCACAGTCCTTTACAAGGTACTTGAATTTTCTTAAGTATTTAGCTTTAAGAGTTACCCTTTCATAAGCATTTTGCCGACCTATCAATTTTTTTTAACAATTAAAAATTTCAAAACAAATATGTCTTGCTATAACATATTCAAATGATCTGATTCCATTCCCCAGAGGTAATCACTGCTGTCAACATTTTGGTTTCTTCCTGACATTTTTCTGTACATAGCAAGCGTACCTGATTATAGACTAGGTTTTGTTTGTTTTTAAAATAAAAAATGAGAGCATATCATATTAGATATAGTTTATAACTTGTTTTTGACTTAATTCATAGGCTTTTTTCCAAATCAAGACGTATGAATCTACCTAATTAGTATTTTTTAAGAGATACTTTAAAATATACTTTTTATAGCTGTAAGACAAGTTTGACTTGTTATAAGCACACCATCTATATACTGCACATTGAATTTTTGTACATGTTTTGCAATAAAAATTAAATGTAATTAACACGTGAATATTTGTCATGTTGTATAGCTGATTTTGGTGACTTCGATCAATATGAATCCCAGGACTTTCTTCAGAAATTTGCTTTGTTTCCTGTGGTAAGACTTCTTGTAACGTTGGGCCCTTTTACAAACTATTTATTCCCATACCCTTAATAATCCCTGAAATGAAATCCATATGATAGTCTTATTAGTCAGGAATGGCATTTAAAAAAAACCCAGTTCCCTTTTGTAAACGTGTCAAGTGTGAATGCTTTCCTGGTTGCAGTCTTCTTGGTCCTTGTCAGCCCGTAGACACTGAAGGGTCTGTAGTCACTGTGATGTGCTCAGAGAAACTGGTTTTGTATTTGGATGTGAGTCTTAAGAGAGGGATCCATTTCAACTTCTGAGGAACCATGCAGAGGTTTTGCTTTTAAACGAAGACTTGAAACCTCACGAAGTTATGTTGAAATGATTTTGACTTGTCATCAGCGATTTAAAAAGTAGATGACAAGAAAACACCACCTTCCATGTTTAAGTTACTGATCGAAGTGAAACAAGAACTGTATTGGAACAACTAAGGGAGGGGGTATGCTCTTTTTCTGAGTGTCTGCACAGCCAGCCAAAGAATGTACCTGGTATTGTTATTTTGCTGGGCTTAGAACTGGCTGCCTGTTGTCACCAACCTGAAATAATTCAGCTGAAACTTTTCTCTGGGATGAAGCCACTTAATTCCTTAGATCACTATTACATATGTAAGCAAAGCTCCCACCTATTAGTAATGGTCACAATTTTGCCTGATAGTGACAAGAGTCAGAAACACTCAGTAGCAATGATTCCTCCTAAGAAATTTGGGTGAATTATTCTATACTTTGTGTGTTTTCTTCAGGGGTGGTTACAAGATGAAAAAGTACTGGAAGAAGCAACCCAAAAAGTGGCCTTACTACATCAGAAATACAGGTAACACTAAGAAATAAGACATGGAAATAGTATAAACTAATGCCTATTAGAGTTTGAAATATTTAATTTACACAATTAATATTTAATTGCACAATTAAATTTGGAACTTTACTGATGCTGCTAGTACAAGTAGCCGACGTTTTATGTAACACTCACTGTGTGCCAAGTGCTGTTGTAAGTAAGCACTTACCTGTATTAACTCATTTATTATCCATGTTTTACCAATGAGGAAGCTGGGAAAGTTGAAAGCAGCCAGTCATTGAAGGGTACCAGTTCTTCACCCCATGTGTTAAAGGTTTTTGTGGCAACCTAATCCTGCACAGGGTAATGTAAGATTAGGGAGATTTTTCTTTTACAAATCAAGTACAGTTATTTCCTCTTGTTTCCACTTTCACAAGGTGAATTTCTGTCCTCTGGGGAGCTGTGCGAAGAGCTCTGGTGCTCATTGCCTTGACCTGTGCTTCCGCATACCTTTGTGTGCTGGTAGACATGGACGTTTTTTGATGGTGAATCTCTGTGTTGCCTGTATTTACAGTGATCCCCAACCTTTTTGGCATCAGGGACCATCTTCAAGGAAGGCAGTTTTTCCATGGACCAGGGATGGAGGGAGATGGTTTCAGGATGATTCAAGTGCATTACATTTCTTGTGCACTTCATTTCTATTATTATGTTGTAATGTATAATGAAATAATTATACAACTCATCACAGGGTGGGGACCCCTGGCCTATAAAGAAAGATCCTTTCCTTGAGAATGCTAGGTCTTATTGTAGACCAAGTACCACACTGTTCCAGGTACGGATGCCCCTCAACTTATGATGGAGTTATGTCCTGATAAACCCATCATAAGGTGAAATATTGTCAGTCGAAAATGCATCTGATACATCTGCCAAACATACCAAACATCGTAACTTAGCCTACCTTAAACATACTCAGAACACTTAATTAAATTAGCCTATAGTTGGGCAAAATCATCTAATACAAAGCCTATTTTTTAATAAAGTGTTCAATATCTCATGTAATGAATACTGAAAGCGGGAAAAAACAGAATGGTGTGGGTTGTATAGGTACTTGAAGTCTGTGTGTTGCTTTCACACTTTTGTAAATTTGAAAATTCATAAGTTGAGTGTCTACTTTATATATCATTAAATTCTTATAATTACTCTTTAAGGTAAACACTATTATCTCCAACTTATAGATGGGGAAACCAAGCTAAAAAAGGCCTTAGTGTCTCTACATGTGGTAGAGGAGGGAAAGCAGGTTCTGTCAGATTATAACCCATTATTTATCCCCTTTCAAATAAAATAACTTTTTGCTTCTAGTCTGTCTCCACTCAAATCCATATAGTCGCTCACAAAAGATTAGTCTCCTAGAATATCACTTTCTTCTTCTCTTTCACCCTCTCCTTGCTGAATGCTCCTGGGGGTTTTCATGCTCTCCACTAGCCGGAGTCCCCTAACCTGGGGTTAAAGGCCTCCTGCAAATTGCTAAAATCTCACCTTTCCAGCTTTACCTTGTGCTGTCTAAATGAATCCTTTTTCCCCTCTAACCTAATTGATCCCTCAGGCACACATTGCCCTGTTTTTTGTAACTTTCATAATTCATTCGTGCATTTCCTTAAAAGGTAGTCTGGTACTCGCCTCTGTATGAAGCAGAGTGCTGGATGCTATGGCACAAAGATAAATAGAATAATTCCCTGCCTTCCGAGAGTTCATTCCTAGCCTTTCAATCTAAAAGCTTGGTAGGACAGCCCACTGTAATAGTCACTATAATACATATAATAGGATTGTGAGTGTAGGGGGAGAGGTGTGGGCACAATGTGTTGGGATTGCACAGAGCAGGTACGTTGGCAAATCCAGAAGGTGGCCAAGAGGGAGTGATGCACAGGCTATGTCTTGAGGGATGTTAGGGACCGGCCAGGTCCACCAGTGGGTGACAGGTATACCTGGAAGAGGCATTGGCATGTGCAAAGGCCCTGAGGTGTGAGGGAACATGGTGTATTCAAACAGATGCAGAGTTTGGGATGGCTACAGTGTGGGCTGCCTTGGGGGCCTGGGGAGCAGCCGCAGATGAGCTTGGAGACCCACGTGTGCATGCAGCGGAACACTGTCTTCCACCCGCACTGCCTTCCTACCCATCCTGACAGTGGCCCATTTACCTAACTGCAAAGGGGTTTCCATCTAGCTGCCTCATGCCCTTAATTCCTACCTGCCTTTGGCATTTAGCACATGTTTCTCAGTAATGCCTGGTATTTTGAATAGGAAGGAATTACTTGGTGGTTTAGAAGATTTTTTAGAGGGTGGTTTTATCCTCCTCTCTCCCCCTCACCTGCCTAAAGTACAGAGGGCAGGATCTTTTATAACTCGGCGTCAGCGCCTACCACAGGGCTTCACATGTAGTCGGTTTTCAGCAAATGTTGTTGGATTAATATAACTGATTACAGGTGCTTTGAAATTTGAAATGTTTATAATGTCTTATGCCGAATTGATATGTAGTTTTTAAGAAAAGCTTTGTTTTAAAACATTTTTAGTTCCGTGAACAGTCTCACTAACATCTGTTGGGTTGCAGAGGACTCGCAGCACCTGATGCTGAACTGCTGTACATGCAGGAGATAGAGAGGATGGATGGCTACGGAGAGGAGAGCTACCCCGCCAAGGTAAGCGTGGCCGGCGGCTGGGGCTCTCTAAAAGCAGACTCCGCAATTGGAGAGAACAGCAGGGAAGCCCAAGGATGCCCTGATGTGCAAAAGTCGGGAAACCTAAAGGCTGAGGTCCTTGTAACCAAAATTTATAGTAAAACACAGTCTCAGTTTTGCAGTTCATTCTTTGAAATGGTCTCGAAGTAGAGTTCTCGAAGAGGTCTAAACATTTTCGATGCCCATACATGTTTACAAGATAATACATTTTTATCATTCAGATTGTTTTCCTTCTGAATACTCTACTCTCTCTGCAGGTCTTCTGAACATTTTATATCTGGGAAACAAGTTTAAGAAACTAGATGTAATGAGATGTGCACCATCTGGGGGATGGTCATGATGGAGACTCAGACTTGTGGGGGGAGGGGGGGAAATGGGCATTTATTGAAACCTTAAAATCTGTACCCCCATAATATACCGAAATAAAAAAAAAGAAACTAGATGTAGTTGTAACCTAAGCGTTTCTTTTTCTGCTTTCTCCTTCTAGGATAGCCAGGGAAGCGACATATCCATTGGCGCATGTCTTGAAGGCATCTTTGTGAAACACAAGAACGGAAGGCCACCAGTGATATTTAGGTATTTTTCTTACGTCTTGCTCTGTACTTTATGTGGCTCCTGTTGGTGATGTAGGTTTTACTACTTAATAGCAGTTAAATTGCTTAGGAGTCTCTCCCAAGGTCTCAATAAAAAAAGGAAATATTCCCTTCCTAGAATAAAATACCATCTAAGTGCAGTGGTTCTTTTTCATAAGCCTCTTTCTTCAAAGCCAAATGTGTAAAAAATAGTGTTTATCATGATGGCCTGTTTATAAAATGTTTAAAAATATGTGACCATTTTCTTGCCATTAGGAGGCCATTCTTTGTTTTGATGTAAATTTTTCATTTGAGCTCTGGTTTCTAGGGCTATTTCTTATGAAAAATCTAAACCTTTCTTCTGGTTCTAGTTATGTACCAAAATTCCTAAAATAGTAATATCTAAGCAAATTTTTTCCCCTGATAATTAAAAAGTGATCCTTCCCATTTGTGGAAATCTTAGAATGTATGTGGTAAGAAAAACAGAAAGGTTATGTAGTGATGTGCTAATTAATAGTGGCCGAGTCTGAATAGTCAAATTACAGGTGATTTAAGTTACCTTTTTAGTATTCTGTGTTCCAATTTAGATCTTAAAGATAGTAAATTGGACCATATCATTCAATCTCTGCTTTTTAATTGTTTAAAATCTATAATCTAGAAAATCCAAAGTGTCATTTCATAGAAATATTTGCTGTTTTACTCTGAGATTCTGTCTACCCAATTCTATCTTCTCGATGAAAAATTAAAAGTTTATATTGTTTTTTCATAAAGTAGTAAAACATATTCTGTCACTTCTACATTTTGGTTCTTTTGTGTCTCCCATTTATTGAGTGCTTACCATGAGCCAGATACTGTACTGAATGCTTTCTGTGTATTTTTTCATATATTTTTCATAACAACTCTCAGCGGCAGGTATTACCATCACTTTGCACATGGGATAATTGAGGATTATAAAAGTTAAGTGATTTGTCCAAGGTCACCCAATTATTAACTAGCATAACTAGGACAAGATTCTCCACTTTAAGCCTGGGCTTTTAACCTCTGTATTAAACAGCTTCTTTTATTCCTTCTACTTACTCTCTACTTTATGTGCCATGCCCCACGCTGCCCCAATTCAAGCTTTCTAAACCATCCCCACGACCATTTCTTGTTGAAAACGAGTGTTTTCCTGTTAAGAGCTTTTTCTCTAAGTTAACATCTCCTCCTCCACATCCTTTGCTTTACTGCCTTTTGGGTCCTGAGTTCTCCATGGTGATTACGGCCACAGTATACACAGTTTGGGCAGCAGAACCCCACTCTTAGATCGTGCTGCCCTGAGCTGGGTGGCTCCACGTTGGCGATTGCTCTCTTGTCCCCAGGCCGCTCATATTAAGTCTTCCCAACATGTCAAATTGCGGGGCAGGGAGAGGAAAATGGATCTGGGCTGCACCTGAAGGGTGGGACTATGATGGTGCCCAAAAGGTCACAAGGAAACTTGAGACATCTTCCTGGCGTCCTTCTTCACTGGATAGGAATGTTACAAATTGCCTTATTTAATATGATGCAAACAATCTTATAGGTTTAACAATTAAACATTGAATCACTACTAACTTAATTTTAATAACTTTTAAATTTAATATAAGAAATATATGAGATAAAATAATTTTTTCTTCCATAATTTTTCTTTTTATAAAATTATAGATGTGTAATAAAATTGAATATTAATATATAAAAACTAAATATAAAGTTAATATTAATATAAGATAGGATTTTGAATTCTAGTGAGCACCCCCAAAATAGTTTACTCCTTAAGTTCCTAGCATTTAAGTGTGTCGTCACCCTGAAGCTTTTTGGAGCACTCTTCCCCACTTTTGTGACTTACTTTACTTAAGTAACGTAACATTACTTATTTGCTGTTCTCCCTTGTATACCCCCACCCTCCAAACTGTGCTCCTTTGAGGGAAGCACTGTGCTTTACTGATCTTACTGTCCCTAGGACCTAATGGAAGTTCTGGGATCGTTATAATGGGAACCCCTCATTTTGTTGAATGAATTAAATGAGGCATTGGCAACCAGCTCAGATAGGGATCTTTGATCATCAGGTGAATCTAGCAATCGAGGATAATGCATTTTACATCTTTTAAATACCCCTTTTTCCTCATTTAATATACATGCATTTACTTTTTGCAACTAGTTGGCTGTCATTTCAATTAGAAGGTGCATGTTAGCCAATTAAAACCAGTTTTATTTCAAAAATGATTAACAAATATTAACTTAGGCATCAATCTTAAGGAGAAACCGTGTGTTCTGTCTACTAGGTTACATGTGAGTACTCACGTTGCCATTCTCTGTTTGCTGTTCTTTAGGTGGCATGATATTGCTAACATGTCCCACAACAAGTCCTTTTTTGCATTAGAACTAGCAAATAAAGAGGAGACCATCCAGTTTCAAACTGTGAGTAAATATTAGTGATCTATCTGCACGGAATGTTTTTCCTAAAAGTTAACAAACAAGTTGGCATTTTGGTGTGCATGTGTGTGTTTGGGAGAGGATGGCATTAAAATGATAATATTTCATGATTTTATAAAAAATTTTTTTGCTAGAACACTTTATAAAATGGCACTTGGCAAAAAGGAGTTGCTCAGTGAATATTGTTGAATGAATGCATCTTTGGATAAATACTATCTGATCATGATGACCTTTAAATTAAAGAGATTAACTGGGGGAGATAGTAAACACTAATATCTTAATTCTATTGATAAATGAATCGCTCTGCAGAAATATTATTTAACAGTTATTAGTTTTTCTCTTACCAAAGGCAACATTGAGTTACTGAGTCAAATGTTTTTTTAGAAATGTCTTTGAGTGTATTGTTAAGAATACCAATAAAAGTTGGTATTTTTTTAATTTTTAAATTTCTAAGTCATTTGAAACTGTTTAATATCAGAATCACACTGTTAGAGCAGGTTGGTTGTCTTTAAATCCTACTTGTGGCATTCCTATGATAGGCAGTGGTAGGAAATGAAAGAATTGCAGTGTGCTGAAAGGGACCTTGACATAATGTGTCCCCAAGTCATGTCTTGTCCTCAGACAAACTCTGAGTTAAAAGTACCAATTTGTAAGTGTGTTTTCATATTCCTTTCTGCATATTTTGTTTGCTAGGAAGATATGGAAACAGCAAAATATGTATGGAGACTCTGTGTTGCACGACACAAATTTTACAGACTAAACCACTGTAACCTGTAAGTATATCCTGCTCATGGAAATTGTGGAAATAGAAAATAACAAATTTAGACATTTTAATCTTGAGCCTTATTGTATCTGGAAAGGCAAATTTTATCAAGTGAACTTTTTTGAACACTTTCATAATAATCTTTTCACTTTTGTTGCATGTTAAAATAACCTTTCTTTTTTTTTTGGAGACAAGAGTCTCACTCTGTTGCCCGGGCTAGAGTGCCGTAGCATTAGCCTAGCTTACAGCAACTTCAAATTCCTGGGCTCAAAGCAGTCCTCCTGCCTCAGCCTCCCCGGTAGCTGGGACTACAGGCATGTGCCACCATGCCTGGCTAATTTTTTTCTATTTTTGGTAGAGATGGAGTCTTGCTCTTGCTCAGGCTGATTTTGAACTTCTGAGCTCAAATGATATGCCTGCCTTGGCCTCCCAGAGTGCTAGGATTATAGGCGTGAGCCACTGCACCCAGCCTAAAATAACATTTTTCTCATTTTAGCTTTGAACCAACCTCTAATAGCTACAGATATGCCTCTAATATTTCTTTCCACTAGTTACTAGAACCATTCTAATTCTGGAAAGTTGAAAAGGGAATAATGTCTTTTATTTTTTTAAATCAGTGCCCTGGTCAGCATTTTAAGTAATTAAAGATTGTTAAACTTTTCAAGCCATTTGAAGAATTTATGCCCTTCTTTCCTAATGTACATTTTTATCAGCCCATACTGCTTTCCCACTGTCTGCTAGATCATTCCCACCAGCGTTCAAGCACGCTGTGATCTTTCACATGTGAAATGCTGTCGTTATTCCACACCCCCCTCTAGTCTCCGTGCTGTATCTCTGCTTTCCTTTATAGTGGATTTTGTCAAAAAAAAGGTGTATATACTTGTTTTCTTCCCTTCCTTCCTTCCACCCTGTTTCCCCTAAGCCACCACACCACTGACACTGCTAGCTGTCACGAGGTGTACTTCATCCAGTGTTGCCAGGAGCTCCTTCACAGCATTGAATCTCTGATGGCGCCTTCCTTCCTCACCCCATCCCGGGTTCCTCATTCTCACCTATTTCATCTCAGTCACCTTTCCTGCTTTAGTCCTGGGACCTCTTCTCCATCTACACTCCTGGGGGATTTCACCTTGCCTCAGGCTTATATGCTAGAAGTACATCAAATTTTATTTCTAGCTCTTTCTCCGTGAGCTCTGACTCCCGCATGCTGCTCTCTACTTGACATCTCCATTTGGGTCCCTAAAAGGCCTCTTGAGTGTGGTATGTCTAAAATAGGCCTCCTGATCGCCTCCTCTTCCTGCCCCCAAATCCACTGCTTCCCTACTCCTTCCCAAGTCGACCTGTGGCAGCACACCCACGTTTACCCAGTTGCTCAGGCCCCGAAGTCATACTTAATTCCTGTTTCTCTTTCATACCACATCTATTCATCAGCAAACACTTCCAGCTCTATCTTCATAATATATCTGAAACCTTACAATTTTACTACCTTTTCTGCTAACAACTGGATGCCAGCCGCTGTCACTCCTCGTCTGGAATATTGCAGTAGCCTTCTGACTCTCTCCCTGTTTCTGTGCCGCCCGTGCCTGCAGCTTATTTTCCATATGTCAGCCAGAACGATGTTGGTTTAACATGAGTCAGATCCTATCACTCTTCTTAAAACCCCGCACTGGCATTCCATCTTACTTATAACAAAAGTATGAGGCCGTACGTGATGTGGTCCTTGCCTGCTTCTAAACTTGTTTCCTTTTTACCCTCCTTGTTCACTCTGTTCCAGCCACTCTGGAATCCTCGCTGATGTGTGAATGTGTTGCACCCTCAGGACTGCTCTTCAGTTAGTTTTCTGGATGGATAAGCAAAAGATGTAGCACTGTTCTTTAAATTACAGGTCAGGACCAAATCAGAGCATGCTCCTCTCCCCCAGCCCTTCCTGGCTACGGGGTTAAGTGCAGACTCCTGAGGTCTCCTGCTCTGGGCTTATCTGCTCCAGCCCTGTGACTCTAGATTCTGGCCCCCAGAACCCCTCATTCCTTGTCCTAATGCCTCTCCGGCCCAGGCCTTTGCTAGAATGCCCTTCCTTCCCTCCCTTGGCAGACTCTTAGTCATTCCTCAAGATCTAATTTGAAATGCAGCCGCTCTGGACCCCAGCAAGCATTTCTTCTGCTTAGTCCTTAATACCACCCTGAAAGGTCTGGTTTATTCCTACTTCTTTTACGATAATCATTCTAATAATTTGTGACAATAATTCAGTAAATGCTTGCTCTGTGTCAAGCATTATACCGAGAGCTTTTATCTGATTTCGTTGTAACAGTAACCCTGTTTGGCACAATTATTACTGCGCTGTTATTGGTGAAGGTGTGGAGGTGTAGGGAAGTGAAACGTCTTGCCCCTGCCATGCCACTGGTGAGAGGGAGGAGGAGGATGGGAACCTGTGCTCTCAGCTGCTGTGCTAGGCTGTTGGAGTGTTCGGGTCTGCTGTGTAAATGTGGGTTTGATCTGTCTCTTTTGTCCGATGGAGTCCTGTGAGGGCAGGGCCTCCTGTCACTCCTCTCCATGGCCTGCGTGTGACCAGGGCTTAGTGAACAGAAGCCTGAGTGAGGCAGTGGTGGGAGTCACAGGAGAAAAGCCCCTTTGATGCTTGCCTGATTTCCTTTTATTATGGATCATAAATTGGGAGCAGGGGGGCATTTTGTCCTTTAGCACCAGGAAGGAAAAAGGCTGTGGAAGTGCTTTCTGTTGTGCAGGGTGTGCAGGATTAACAGTGCAAAAAGAATAGGTGTTGTCCATGCAGACAGAGAACCATCCAGTGATTAGCACTTAGGCCCCATCCCCTCTCCTCTGTGTGTCCCCCCGCCCCCAGTGTTTTTATCTGAGTCCCCACTGGTGGTCTGGTGTTGGGGCTTTGGTAAGCACTGACTGGCGGGAGGAGGAACCTTGCTTTCTCTGTGGCCTTAGGAAGCCCTTTCTGCTCTTTGCCCATGTGCGTGTGAATATGAAAGTGTTCCCCCTGGTGGTTAGACTCAGTATTGCTGCTAGCCCAGGGTAATTGCATTTGGGGCTCCCATAGGTTGGCCTGGTTACCCAGCCATGTATGACATTATTTTTATGCAGAAATGAGTTCTAAGATTCAAGTAGTAGATATGTAATCTATTGGGACACAGTGTTTTCATTTGAAAGCCTTACATAAGTTTAAGAGAATTAATAATATTGAGTTATCATTATGTTAGTTCATTCCTTTTCTGGAAAATAGTAAAGAATCAGTCATTTTGAATAAATCATAAAATGTAAACCCTTTCTAAATGGCATCCATATTGGTTGGTGTTAGTGGTTTTTTTAAAAAGCATTTTTTTGGCAAATTGCCGCCCAGTAATAATTTTAAAATGTAGAGCGAAAAGCAACAAATGATTGTTTGCGGTAAATGATTTAGTCTTAGAAATCTAACTTTTGGGATATTGCTGTTTATTGGTAAGTGTGCATAAAACCACATTAATGTCATCAGTTGCATGTATTACATCTGTATAAGGAACATCTGATTCTTTTAAAAATGGAATAATTATGTTTAAAGGACTATTTCCCAAAATTTGTTTTTAATCTCTGTATAGCTAGCTAGTAGATTATGGCAGCTGATTTCTATGAACTATTCTTATGTAATTATTTATAATTCATTCTGTGGGAAGCCAGTCTATTTCACGGTGAGCATCTGTTTCCCATGTGAGGTAAATGAAGCTTTTAATATTAGCTTTTAAAATTTTGATGGGTAATAAAACTGAAAATAACTATAATTTTTATGGTCATCTCTTTTAAGGTTCTCAGTGTAGACTGTTCAGTCACATTCAGTGTTATGATTCTGAAGTATTGGCAGACTTGTTCTCGTGGTCTAGATGGATAAACTCAAGTGTGTTGCACATTTAACAAACCTGCAGCTGGCCTGGCACTGGACTTTACTCCCAGAGTGGCCCCAGTCCTGATCTATAACCTAATAGTTTTCCCCCAGTCCTGATCTATAACCTAATAGCATTTGGGATGGCCTTATGTGATTCATCTAACCTTGACCCAGATAACTGTATTTTAGTGTTTGTCCAATGGCATGATCCAACAGTCTTGCCCCACCCACCCAGCAAGGCAGTTTAGGTAACAGAATATCTTTTTATGTCACCCAAGCCTTAAAAATGTTAGATAACAGTCTCTTTGGTCTAATTTGTAAAATAGGGATAATGGGGCCTTTACTGAACATTCCTTTAGGGTTAGATCAGGAACTATAAATGAGATAATAATGTCAGTGTCAAAAAGCTTCTTCTAACCTCCGCTCTCCCACCCCAGGCCTCAGAACTGATCATGCTGTGATCAGCCTCCCTAATTTACAGGAGAAAAAGACTGGGAGACAGGCGCCTTGGTAAAGGGGCCTCTCCTCTCCTCTCTCTGTAGGGGACAGCGGGATGGTGTCCTCCAACCTGCAAAGCCACGTGGTGGAGGGCTTGGGAGACTTTCTCCAGAGGGTAAACTTGGATTTCAGGCAGTGGCAGGCTGCTCTCCGAGTGCAGTGGGAGGGTTGGCGAGTGTTCCTGCGGGTTAGGGCTCTCGGTGAACATGGCAGCCAGTGTCTACCGACGGAGACTTTTATGATCTAGGAGACTGACTGGTGTAGACCCTGACTGGGGTTGCCCCATCTTCTAAGCCTATGGCAGTGCTTGAAAAGACTGTGGGAATCCTGGAAGAAGATGAAACAGCCCCTGTCCCATCCAGTCCCTGGACCCACAGAGGTGTGGCCAGGACCCAGTGGTTCCTACGGACCTGTGTGGACCAGCAGGGCAGTGTAATGGCGTTGAATTAAGAAGCAGCCATAGGGCCAAACAGTGGGCTCTCTGGGCGTGGGGACGTGGACCTCTGGTAGGGCTGAAGAGAGGCAGCTTCCTTTCCTGAGTGGGTTCTCATGTGGATGAAGATCAGTGTTACCCTAGAAAGCCACATGTCATGGAGCTAGAGTGAAGCCCGGCACCAGTACCCCAGTTACCCGAGATGATCTCTGCCAGCTCTGTTCCTCTCCCTGCCCACAGTGCCAGGGAGCTACAGGCATCTCAGCCAGAGCAGGACCTTCAGCCTGAGCATGCAGCTCTGGCCTGCCCTAGTACAGGGGGGGAGAAGAGCCTTTTTTCTTCCTTACCCTTACTAAGCTCAAGAGGCAAGTCACTGAGACAAACACTCACTGGGTATTTCCACCATCTAATGCATTTTTGATCATTAAAATCTCACCCTCCTTCACCAGCTATAAATATATATACATATATATATAAGAAATGAGCTTGACCCTAAATGCTTAGAAAAGAACATTAACTTCAGTCCTCACTCACCACGTCATTTGTTTGCTGAGTAAACATTTGAGGGCTTCCTTGTGTGCCGGGCACCAGTGATACCGTGGCATGTCCCCTTGCCTCCAAATTCGCTTACAGATTAGCTGGGACTGGGGAAGGGGTCAGATAAGTCACTGTTAGAGGCCCGTGCTCAGGAATCCGACAGACTTGCCTGGTTCAAATGCCGGTTCTGCTACTTGTTTGCCACGTGACCAGGAGTGATTTACTTAATCTAAGTTTCAGTTTCCTTATCTGTGAAATCAGGATAATAACTGGACCTCCCTTATAGGGTTGGTGTTCAGATTCCATGAGATCATCATGTGCAGTTTCAATAAGTAATACAATTGCTTGCACTTGGGCTGGCACATATATATTTTTTTTAAAGAGATGTTTTTTTAAAGAGATGGGGGTCTCGCTCTGTTGGCCCAGGCTGGAGTGTGGTGGCTATTTATTCACAGGCCCCTTCACAGTGCACTATAGCCTTGAACTCCTGGGCTCAAGCCATCCTCCTGCTTCAGTCTCCCAAGTCGCTGAACTACAAACATGGGCCATGGTGCCCAGGTCAGCCTTTTTTCTTGTCTTCTTCAGTGCATATATTCCAGTGATTTCTTTTCTTTTCTTCTTGAGACAGAGTCTCACTTTGTTGCCCAGGCTAGAGTGAGTGCCATGGCGTCAGCCTAGCTCACAGCAACCTCAAACTCCTGGGCTCAAGCAATCCTCCTGCCTCAGCCTCCCAAGTAGCTGGGACTACAGGCATGTGCCACCATGCCCAGCTATATATATATATATATTTATTTATTAGTTGGCCAATTAGTTTCTTTCTATCTTATAGTAGAGATGGGGTCTTGCTCTTGCTCGGGCTGGTCTCGAACTCCTGACCTCGAGCTATCTGCCTGCCTCGGCCTCCCAGAGAGCTAGGATTACAGGCATGAGCCACTGCACCCAGCCTTCCAGTGATTTCTTCTTCAGAATTCTTTAGCTGTCCCATTTTTAGCAGCACCCATGCATACTGCCCCACAAGTTTGGAAACCACAACCAACAGATAAGTAATTTTCTCTTGTAAGCCAAGTTGAGAATAGCTGATCTCCGAGTAAACTGCATTTTTAACAACAATGGCAAGAAGAAAGAGGAGGTTAGAATATTAGAACTGATGGCAAGTCAGCCTAGGTTCAAACAGACAGTAGCTGGTTGACTCACTGCCGTAGTTAGTTTTGTGTTTGGCAGAACCGGTTGCCGCAGTGGGCACGTTCGCCTCCACGCTGGGTGCCGCGGCAAGGCCGCCAAGATAGCTGTCGTGTGTGGGGGCTGCCGCCTGTGCTCCGGAGCTCTGCATCCTTGGATTTTGTGTTTAACACACTTCAGTTTTATTTTTGCCTCCGACTGGGAAACTTAGGGATGTTTTTGGGATTTGTTGATAGAGGATTCTATAAGCAACTCTTTCTCCTCATTTCTCTGAATTTATGGTACTTTACAAGTTCTATCTGTCTAGACAGTGAGTCTCTGATAGACTGAACATAACGGCCAGGGCCCAGTTTGTCTGCACCCAACCCTGACAATCGAGAATAACCAGGGACAGTGAATTTCAAGGCTACAAACATAGTGTCCTCAAATTCCAGACACCAGTTTTAAGAAATACATGATGGGACTTGAGTATGCATGGATTTGGGTAAAAAAAAAAAAAAAAAAAAAAGAAAGAGAGAAAGAGAGAGAGAGAGAGAGAAAGAAAGACAGACAGACAGACAGACAGACATGAAGTGTGCAGTTAAGGAGTATTTAAAGAAAAACAATAAAAGAAAAAACAACCCACAACAAAAACAAAAAGCCCAGACCCACCATGCAGACTTATTTCTCCAAAATAACTTCTAGAAGAATGGAACATCCTTTGGAAAAGAGACATTTATTTTTCAACAACCTGATGATAATGAAATTATTTTAAAAAGTAAACTGGTAAAAGTAGTTGTAGTCACCTGATGTTAAGTTCCTAACAGGTACTAGTTTTTTAAATCTCAAAAGTATTGTAACAATAAGCTAATATCCAGGGGTTGAGAACAAGACACCACTTATCAGAGTGCTAAGAAGAATATTAATTTATGAGACATGAGGCTTGATATAATGGTAAAGTTGCTGATTAAATTGATTGAATGTTGACTTTGTGATCATGGATTTTTCTAGTAATTAGTCCTTAGAACTCCATAACCGAAGATCACAAAATATTTTTGTATCAGTTATTAACTATATTACATAAGCTCTCACGAGCCAGGGTTTAAGAAAAAGTGCTTTGACAATATTATATGTCATCAATAAAGCCAAGAATCCCATGTGTTTAGGTACTTAGATCTTATTTGCAATTAAAAGTGACCACACAGAAGAACAACAAAAAAATCTTGCCTCTATTTAAAAGCAGTAGTTGCATGTGGGCTCTGCTGGTTCTTGTTCCTTTCTTACCTAATTGTTTCTTCAAAGATGGAACTTGCTGCATGAATAGTTTAAAATCTCAAATTAATCGGGCAAATGTCAGTTAGCACTCCTTAATACTATTTGCCTTTTAAAAATACATGTTTAAAACTGATCAGACAGAAGTTTCTTGCAAAGAAAGGCAATGGGTTTGCCACAGGCCCATTGAACCAATATTTCTTATTGCTTTCCCTAACTTAGTTCCTTAGAGGAAATATAGATTCTTCAGTCACCGAAATTATAAATTTTTCTCTTCATTGTGTTTATAGTCTTGGTTAACAGACTTTCAATTAATGGCAGTTCGCACTGCTCCCGGCTCCTGGGCTGACAGTTGGTCCCCCAGGACTGTGAGTGGACAGGCTCAGGGCTCACCCCGTGCGCGGGAGAGATGCACCTGCACCGATCCTGCTTCTGCTGCCATGAGTGTGCGGGTCGTAGCCTTGTCTCTTTCCCTCTGCCTGTGGCCACTCCAGAGGTTTATCTGGATGGCAGGAAAGATGCTCCCACCGTCCCCCGAGGTGGTGATGCACCACAGGGAGCCTGAAACCACAGCATGGGTTGCGGGGTTGGGCAAGCAGGAAAGGGCCGAGGCCCCATAGTCGACAGAGAACCTCCTTTCTTTTCTCTAGTCTATGACTGGTTAGCTTATCTTTTTTGTCTAAGAAGATTTCTCATTTTACCTTCCTGTATCTTCTTTTGGTAGAAGTAGGTAGCGTGCGTGTGTGCGTGCGTATGTGCGTTCGTGCGTGCTCTTCTCAAAGACTTATTCTTTTATAGGCAAACTCAGACTGTCCCAGTGAACCCCATCAGAAGGAGGTCTTCTTCAAGGATGTCTCTGGTAAGAAAAAAAGGAAGATATGTTTTTTGTTTTTTGTTTTTTTAAGTGAGGCCATTCTCCTTAATAAGCTATGTTTTTAGTAGTGTTAATATTGAGGTTGAACCATAAACATGTGCTGATACTTGATCATTTGTAACCAAAGAAATGGTTTTTCCATAGGTCCAACCTAGCATTTATGTTATTATATGTAATTTTAGGTCCAACCTAATATTAAAAACTTTGTAGGCTGAGAGTAATTGTGAGTTGGTATATATTTAGAATACTAGATGACTGTCTAATAAGATTGACTGTGCTGCATTTAAGTTTCTTATATTCGAATCTTTATACAGGGAAATTTATGTCTGTGCCTTCTTGATCTTTTTGGGTGCAGATTTTGGTACAGTGTGTGGGGCTGGCATTGTCACTGGGGAAACATTGAAAATGATCGATATGGTATGAGCTGCTGTGTATCTTCATGTTTGTTTTCCACATGTAATATATTTAACTCCTTTAGAAGTTTTCTTAATGGAGGGAAAGAATCCAGCAGAGAATGCCTTTATCTATATGACGTAGGTAATGCGTTTTAACCCTGTGTCCAACTCTCCATTTCTTAGCCTAAACCTCAGCCCTACGTGATGCCTCCCCCACCCCCGCTGCACTATAATGGACATTATACGGAACCATATGCTTCCTCCCAAGGTACAGTATAGTTATTACTATGAATAAATCTATGAAGACAGAGAGATCTTGAAACCTGGATAGTTTTTGGTTCAGCCAAAAACCCCAAGTTTTAAAACCCCAGTTGTTGTCATGATTACAGCCATCCCGGACTCGTGAAAGCAGCCATTATATTCAAGTTCTTGGATATTTGTCAAAAACATTCAGTATCAAATTTTGATGCTCAGATGATCCCAAATTTGGCCAATGGAAACTCAGTCAAGCTGGTTCCTGTGTCCTTTTCACACTCCCCCATTAGCCATCAAGTGCTTCCTTACTTTCTGGCAAAAAATGTCTGTTTTCCTTTGTTTTTTTCCCTGCCAGAGACTTTCCTATTGCAAAAGTTTACACCGTTGATTACTGCAGTTTTCACATGAGAAGTATAGAGAACTGTATTTACAATAGTGCCCCCAAAGCTGAAGCTTATTAGGCAATCATTTAACATTTACCCTATATTCTCTGTATAAGGCTATACCAAAAGCCAAGGAGGTTCATGCAGATGAGTAATTCTACATCTCTTCTTATGTTTTTTTTTTTTTTTTTTTTTTAGAGATAGGGTCTCACTCTGTCATTCAGGCTGGAGTACAGTGGCGTGATCATAGCTCCGTACAACCTTGATTTCCTGGGCTCAAGTGATCCCCCGTCTCAGCCTGAAAAGTAGCTAGGACTACATGTGTGTACCACCACACCTGGCTAATTTTTAAAAAAAATTAGGGTCTTGCTATGTTGCCCAGGCTGGTCTTGAACTCCTGGCCTCAAGTGCTCCTCCTGTCTTGGCTTCCCATTGTGCTGGTATTATAGGCGTGAGCCACTGCACTGGCCTCACATCTTAAGAAGCTTAGAATCTAATAGTGGGGGATAAGACAAGTGCACAGATAACTTGAATGCAAAAAGAACATTGTTTTGCTGAGAACGAGCATGCAATTACAGTGTTCTTTGATAGAAGAAAGACTCCTAATGTTGGGGAGAGTGTGAAGAACTTTCTGGACCTCAAAAGACGAGTGGTAGAGAGGTGGACACCTCTCTACTGGGATTGCTGCTGCTGGGTTTGGGAGACAGTGAATGCCAGGGCACAGAATGAGGAAGGGGGCGTTGGAGAGTAGAGCAGTCCCGTTGCCCTCTCATGTAGGGACTCATGCATGAGGAAGGTCCTTGGAACTCCAGCTCTTCCCACTTCTGGGACTAGGCTCTCCTCTGCATTGTTAGTCTCTGCTGCTCATTTTCCTGCCTTAGGCTGTAAACATCCTGACATTTTTTGCTCTCCTCTCTTTAAACTATGGTTTGCATTGTTTTTTTCTCTTCTCCTTTTTCTTTTTCTTTCCTTTCTTTTGACAGGGTCTTGCTCTGTCACCTGTGCATGAGTGCAGTGGCATCATCCTAGCTCATTGCAACTTTAAACTCCTGGGATCAAGTGATCCTCCTGCCTCAGCCTCCCAAGCAGCTGGGACTCCAGGCGTGTGCTACCACACTCGGCTAATTTTTATTTTTTTGTAGAGATGAGGTTGATATGTTGCTTAGGCTAGTCTTAAACCCCTGACTTTAAGCGATCCTCCCACCTCAGCCTCCCAAAGTGCTGAGATTACAAGTGCAAACCACCGCGCCTGGCCTCTTTTCTTTTTCACCCACTTCTTTTGAGAGGACCCTCTGTGTGCTGCTGCTTCTGGTTGGTCACCCACTTGCGTTTGCTGTTCAGTTAACGCTGCCCTCTCCGAGGTGCCCAGAACCCCCAGATTCTACTCTCTGTCAGGTTCAAGCATTTGCTCCTTCTTGAAAATCTCTTTCCAACGTGCTGAGTTTTCCCTCCTCCTTCCCGACAGTGTTGTCTGCTATGCCCTCCTCCCTCCCTCCATGAGCTTGCACAGCAGTCTCATCCACATGGAAAACGTCTGCAAGGATGACTATCACATCTATATTTTCCACCCTTCCTCACTCCTGGGCTCCAGCCCCACATTTCCAACTGTCTGATAGGCTGTGGTGACAGTTCTGGGAGCTTCTGCATGTGAAGCCCTCATTGGAGCACCTGGTTTATGGTAGCACTCCGTAAACAGTACTGGAAATTAAAATATTAAATTTGAACTCTGTACTCCTCTTGATAAGCCTGTCCCTTTTCCTATGTTCCTTACTTCATTTTTATGACCTTACTATCCTGGTTACTTAGATTCCATGCTACATGTAAGTTTCCTTTTGTTTTTTTGCCCTTGACATCTAGTCAGTTACAAATCGTATCACCTCTAACTTTATACGATATCTATTCCGTCTCCCTGTCTCCACATATTCCTGCTCCCGAACCAGTCCTCCAAATCTAGTTCCTTTCTTGTTTCCTTCCTTCCCCTTCCTTTCTTTTCCTTTTCCTTTTCTTTTCTTTCCTTTCTTCCTTGCCTCTCACCAGCTGTTGCATGTCATGAGCCAGTATTTTCAGTCTCCACTCTCCCTGGTTCCTCTGGCCACGGCTGCCAGGCCAGTCTCCCGGGTGTACAGGGGCATCAGGGGTGAGGGGGTGTAAGCTTGCGTGCTCTGAGGGGTAGAGACATCCACTGTGGAAGCTGGATGTGCCCACCCTGCCGGGCTCCTTGAATGCTGTGTCTTCTCTGGGGTTGTTCTTGATCCTTCCTGTCCCCATCACCCAGTCTAAGCTGGAAGTGATCCTTCCCTCCTCTGAACTCCTGTAACCCTTATCTCCTCTTTTCCTTGCTTGAATTATGATGATTTTGTGCATATCTTTCCCCTTTACTTGCCTATATCCCAATTATCTTCTCCCCCCCTCTTCTGTTCTTAGTCTTTTCCAAGTATGGCTCACAAATGACTGGGTGGTTTGTGGCGAGCAGAGAGGAGCCTGGAGGCGGGGAGACCAGCTAGGCGAGTGTCTCGCTAGTCCAGACAAGCTGGAGTAGGGGCCTGAGTGAGGGCAGTGAGAAAAGGGAGATTCCAGAGACCGAGAGATAGCCGAGTATTCTGTAGATGGGGAAAGTACAGTGACAAGGAAGCAATATGTGTCAGCAGGGAGAATACAGTGGACATTAGAACACAGTTTCTTCGCAGCTATGTGTGCCACCCAAATGCAGTGCCCCTGCCAGACTGTGGGATATTACTTTGACAGTCAGTTGTCACTTACACCATCATGGAGCTTTTGAAACAAAAAAGAATGCTTTTCACAAGAAACTGTTCTCTGAAGGACTTGACTGCTGAGTTTCTTTGATGTGTTAGAAATCACCCTCACTGATAAGAGCATGAGCTACAGATGGCTGGAAGAAGCGTGGCCCCTTTCCAGCCCCGGACAGGTACACGCATGCAGCTATTGTAAGATTAGATTAAACTCCTGATTCTCTTAGCCATGGCCCCAAAGCATGGGGGTCCCTGGCAGGACGACGCTGCAGCTGTCTTAGCATGGTTCCTCTCGGCTTCCAGACCCCTGTTGGAGTGTGCAGCTACTGGTGACACTGTTGGACCAGAGAAGCTTAGATCTTGCTGAACCATTACCCTTTTATAGCCAAAGTTCTTATGTTGATTCTGGAAGAACCTGTATCAACAATCTAAATTTCCAGTTGCAAAATTGTTTATAGATGGTTGGTGGTTGAACTAGCTCAACATGAACAGGGCCACGTCCCTACCCAGGGAGAGAAAGCAGTCAGCAGCTCAGTGCCTTGAATAGTGTAATATCTCTGCCAAGAGTCCCCAGAAGTCTGTTTTGTGTCTCCAGTAAAACACCTTTTTTCACTTCCAGAAGAAGATAACGTTTTGTGACACAATTATACTTTTGACATTGGACTTAGATTTGGGTAATCGTTATTGGATGTCGGATCCTGAATGGCGCTCTTGCAGTAGGCAGAGCCATCCCTGTCCTATAGACGAGGAACCTGAGGCTCCCAGGGTCACCTCGACAGTGTGGCTAAAGCCAGGTCGTTTTAGCATGGGTTTTTACAAGCTATGTTAAAATGTCATCAAAGTTCAGGGGGCCCTATCTCAATATTTGGGTGGAGTAATTAATTAAAAGAATCTCATTAAACTTATTTTTTCAGATAACCTCTTTGTGCCCAACCAGAATGGATACTATTGTCACTCTCAGACAAGTCTGGATAGAGCCCAGATTGACTTCAACGGTCGGATCCGCAATGGCAGCGTCTACAGTGCGCACAGCACTAACTCCTTAAATAACCCGCAGTCCTTCCTGCAGCCCTCGCCCATGTCCTCCAACCCCAGCATCACTGGAAGCGACGTCATGAGACCCGACTACGTCCCCTCCCATCGGCACAGTGCCCTGATACCCCCGTCGTACCGCCCGACCCCGGATTATGAGACTGTGATGAAGCAGCTCAACCGGGGCATGGCGCACGCGGACCGGCAGAGCCACTCGCTGCGGAACCTGAGCCTCGGCAGCTCGTACGCCTACAGCCGGCCCGACGCCCTGGTCTACAGCCAGCCCGAGATCCGCGAGCACGCGCACTTGGCGTCGCCGCCGTCGTCGGCGCACTACCCGTTCCCCCTGAGCTACAGCTTCCACAGCCAGTCCCCGTACCCCTACCCCGCCGAGAGGCGGCCCGTGGTGGGCGCGGTCAGCGTGCCCGAGCTGACCAACGTGCAGCTGCAGGCCCAGGACTACCCGGCCGCCAACATCATGAAGACGCAGGTGTACCGGCCGCCGCCGCCCTACCCGTACCCCAGGCCGGCCAACAGCACCCCGGACCTGTCGCGCCACCTGTACATCAGCAGCAGCAACCCCGACCTCATCACCAGGCGCGTGCACCACTCGGTGCAGACGTTCCAGGAGGACAGCCTGCCGGTGGCCCACTCCCTGCAGGAGGTCAGCGAGCCGCTGACGGCCGCGCGGCGCGCGCAGCTGCACAAGAGGAACAGCATCGAGGTGGCGGGGCTGGCGCACGGGCTCGAGGGCCTGCGGCTCAAGGAGCGGACGCTGTCGGCGTCGGCGGCCGAGGTGGCCCCGCGCGCGCTCTCGGCCGGCTCGCAGCCGAGCGTGTTCACGGAGAGGACGAAGCAAGAAGAGCCCGAGGAGCCCGAAGGCCTGAGGTACGGCCACAAGAAGTCCCTCTCCGACGCCACCATGCTGATACACAGCAGCGAGGAGGAGGAGGAGGATTTCGAGGAGGAGAGCAGAGCGCGCGCCGCGGCCCGGCGGCCCGGAGGCTGCCCCCGGGACCCCGTGCCGGCCGGGCCGCTGCAGATCCTGGAGCCGCCGCCGCACGGGCCCGGGCCCGGGGTGCTGGAAGCCCAGCGGCCCAGGAGGGACGGGCTGCTGACGCCCTCCATGTCCGAGTCCGACCTCACCACGTCGGGGCGGTACCGCGCCAGGAGGGACTCTCCGAAGAAGAGGCCGGTGTCGGACCTCCTCTCCGGCAAGAAGAACGTCGTGGAAGGCCTCCCGCCGTTGGGGGTAAGCGCGACCGCGGTCGCATGTGCCCAGGCCACCGAGTAACCGGCCTGATCCACATCAGCTTGTCTTTGACGCGTGGCTTCTGATGCTGTCCGGCTTTTCACCTTGTTCTTTTAACAGCTTTCTCCCCCCACCCTCATGCTACTCTGTTTTTGACTGTCTTTGAACACACTCGAGTTTATCTATGGGAATAATGGAGATCCATTAGAATTTTAGTGGTTTTGCTGGATAAAGCCAAAAGGTAACGTCGGAGGTGTTGCGGAGTGGAATGGAAAGAGTGAATGAAATGTTTTAGTGATGTGCTGTTCAGAAAAAGGAAGTTAAGACTTCAGGACTTCAGCCAAGATTGCTTTGTTGGCCGCCCGTTAAAAATACCCGGTGGCGATGCAGCACCTTGAGCAGCATTTGTTCAGTTTGCACAAGAGATGTCTGTGAGAAGCATGCAGGGATGTGTTCTTAATTCTTTATGTAATTCTCAAGGTCAGCGTCTGTGTGGATACAGCTTGACCTGGTGACCTCTGAGGACTGGAAAGTGATTCTGGAGTTGGGAAGATGGTACTTTGTCAACATAAAACCCCCCAGAGGTCCAGGTCTCCTTAAAAGAAAGGTTTAAGTGAAGTGAGAATTCAAGGAAAGTCCCTTGTAGAAAATGCAGCTCTTTGATATTTGGCATAATAAATAAGTATTCATTAAGTACTTCTTACCTATTTGAAGCAAAATATAAAAAAGCATAATCACATTTCTAGCTGCCAATCTCAGAGCATTTACCTTGTACAGAGCACTTTGTCTGCTTTACTGCATCCAATTTTTATGATAAGCCCATCGTTATGGCCATTTTACTGGGAAGAAACAGACTCAGATATTAAGTAATTTTTCCAAGGTCGCACAACTAGTAAGTGACTGAACTGAAATTTTAAACCCATATTTATCTCTGCAACCTGTTCTTTTCTCTTCTACACTGGTCCACATTGAGGTAGAATGTATCTAATATTTTATTATCTAACAATTGCTTGTTGAGACCTTGCTATTCTTTCACTGAAACTTTTTAACTGAGTCCTCAACTTTTGACTAATATCCTGTGGCTTTGTCCTGAAGTGTGTCCACTCTCAGTCATTTTGTTGCACTGCAGAGGATTTCCCGCTCCTCGTGGCCCACTCCCACTCCCCATGGCCTGCACTCAAGCCAAGCCGAAGTAACTAGGGCATCCATTCTGTCTCCCAGTGGCTCCCAGTGTTCCTGGCCACTAGGGCTGTCCTCCCCCATCTCTGCTGGACCGCACGCACACACTCGAAGGCCCATCTCAAGTGTGTTTCTGTCCTAGTGTATAAAATACTCTAAGACACTACAAACATTGTGATAAATAGGAAAAAACTCACGTAGTATTACAGTGTTTATGAAAGGGGTTAATATACATAGATGCAACCTACTTACTAAAGTGCCCTGGATTTAAATGTACTTTCTTTTAATCACCTTTAGGTTTGGATGTTAAGTTTAATTTTTCCTGGGGGTGCAATCTTACTTACTTGAACAGTAAAGGCTAGTGCCCCAGGAACGCCGAGATTATTAAGGGTATAGGCTGATGAGCAGTGATTCAGGGTAGGGACAGGGTGTGGGTAGATTTTTCAGAATAACTCTACCTGGGCTGGCTGGACAGAGCCAGTTTATAATTAACACTCTTCCCACTGCATTAAGAACTGTCCATTGTTTTTATGTGTGTGACCCAAGTAGTTTCCCCATATGATATCTGCTTTGTGTTTAGCCCAGTATTCAAGCCTATTTTATCCCCATGTTTTTAATAGGGCCGGATAGATTTAGCTAAATCTGAGGACTTTGATCAACTTGGTTCTCTTGAAATACAAATTTTCGCTCTCATTGACTTTTAAGGCCTATAATATTAAAAAATAATGTGATTAGGTTATGCTTAACCCAGGTTATTAGGTTATGTGTCCCCTTCCTTTTGCAGAAGGGACTCTGCTTACTCCAAGAATGTGTACGGTAGCTAGCTGCGCTCAAGGGGAAGGAGTACAGGTCCTAAGAGTTAGAAACCTTGGGTCTGAGTCCAGATCCTGCTATTTTTTTAGTTCTCTGCTCGGTGGGCAGGACCCTTGATGCATCAGAACCTCAGCTACTATGCCTGAAACACAGGGACGGCCATCGCTGCTCTGCCTCCTTCGTGACATTAAGTTTTACATGAGGTGAGGCATAGGAATAATTCCTTCTGAATTATATGATTCCACATAACTGATTTTAATGAATGATTTCATTGTTTTGACACCGATTACTGTATAAAAAGAGGCAGCCATGTGACCTGAGGCAAGCTATTTAATCTGTGACTCAGTTTTCACTTTTGTAAATGAGATGACCCTAGAAAGTTGTTGGGGGAATAAAATGCAGTCCTGGCATATTGAAGGTGCTCAGTCAATATTAACTTATTGCTGTGAGGTTGCATCAGGCATTTAAGTTACTGACTTTCTAAGAGTTGAAGAGGCCAACCCCCTACTATATAAACCCTCTGACCCTTTCGTAGTAACATGGGCTGTCATTATCTTGTTTGATTGTTAACAACAAGTATACTAATGTGAATTAAGGTTATAGAGGTTTAGTATTGTATTTAAGCAGTGAAATAAATTGTAGACAAGAAGGAACATTTTAGACTTTTCCACCTATCTCCACCTCCAGGGACTTGATTGCTATCTTAAAGGCAGACTGGTTTGGCTGATCTTACATCTACATAAAGACTTTCTTCTTGTACCTTTTAGTCTTGTGCAATGATTCTCACATAACAAATTACTGTGCAGGTTATACATTTAAAACCATGTATTTGGGCTGGGCGTGGTGGCTCACACCTATAATCCTAGCACTCTGAGAGGCCGAGGCGGGCGGATTACTCAAGGTCAGGAGTTCGAAACCAGCCTGAGCAAGAGCAAGACCCTGTCTCTACTAAAAATAGAAAGAAATAATTGGCCAACTAAAAATATATATAAAAAATTAGCCGGGCATGGTGGCACATGCCTGTAGTCCCAGCTACTAGGGAGGCTGAGGCAGGAGGATTGCTTGAGCCCAGGAGTTTGAGGTTGCTGTGAGTTAGGCTGACGTCATGGCACTCTAGCCCCGACAACACAGTGAAACTCTGTCTCATAAAAATAAATAAATAAAACCATATATTTGTACTCTAAGAACTAATTAGTAGTTATTTGAAGCTAGTTTTGACTATATGCAACTTTCTTCAAATACTGGCTTTTGCACTGACCTTAGAGACAATCAACTTTATTTTGTTATATCTGTGTGGGCATTTTGAGTCATTTTCAGGCATAGAAGTGCTAGATCCAGCTCATTCTAGCTGGCAAGAGCTGACTGTTAAATTTTTAGGAATCTTGTGAGCCAGTTGATGTCACATGGACAGTTTCAAATTGGCTGTGATGGGAGTGTTTTACACCATGGCAATTGGCAACTTCTGATCAGAACTTTTTCCCTCTGGAGCCAGTCGTTAAACATTACCAGCACATCACTATTTTCTGCACGTTAAACTTAATGAATTTTTAGCCTAAACAGGAACCTTATAGTCTATGTGTCAGTCTTACTGTCTAGATAAGGCTCAGGGGGAAAGGTGACTTGCTGAAGGAAGTCAGAGGCTGGATTTTAAACCAGGACTCTACCCATTCCTAGTCTACTATTATCTGGGAAGCTCGTGCTCAAATGTGAACTATTAATATAAAATATAGGCCAGTTAACTTTTTGAGTTAGGTGCTTGATCATATTCTCTGATTATAATAGCAATCTTATAGCACTTTTCCCCCCTCACCAAAATACCTTTTTCCTGTGCTTTTGTTCTATTATCTTGATCTTGGGGTTTCATGGCCTTTTCTAGGCTGGTAGAGTTGGAATAAAGCTCATTTCATTTATGAGACAGAACAGGTAAAACCATTTTTTGTCCATTTTGGGGCTACTTATTATGGCTTTCAAGGAGGTGTAGAATATCCAAGGAGACTTAGCATTCTTTTTAAAATTAAAGTAAATGAAATAATTTATTTTTTTAGAGGCGCAGTCTCCCTGTCTCCCAGCCTGGAGTATGGCAGCATGATCATAGCTCATCATACCCTCGAATTCCTGGACTCACGCAGATTTAGCATTCTTATGCTTATTTGCCTTAGAAAGGAAAATCATGAGCTCCTGTTTTCAGGAGACAGCATTCTGTTGATACATCTTCTCCTCCTGGTGTCATGATGGAGATTTTACCCGTTTTATTTTCCTGGTTTAAAATGTGGCTGTTCTGAGAGATGTGGTGATCCTCAGACCCAGGTCACACAAGTCTGCAATAGAATGTAGACTAGGGAATGGGAAGGCAGTACACAAAGGGAGCTACTGCAGAAAGCATTTAATTTTTTCAGAAGAATTTATATATTTTAAAAATCATAAAAGCTTTTATAATCAAGTGATTGCATTTAAAACCTTTTTTGTGGACTAAGCTGTTTTTTGTGTGTCTTGTTTTAAAAGGAATGCTGTCTGCCTGGGCCTCACCTTTTGTTACAACAGAGCCTTGTAACCAATTATGTTTCAAAACCTTATATCTGGAAGACTTATCAGGGCTTTGGCCTTGAAAGGAATGTCTTCCTCCTAATGTTTGCTAAGCAAATGATGTGTGAAGGAGTGTAACCTCTCTTGCAGTGGCAAAGGAACACACTCTGTGTTTGTTTCCGTCTTTGGTCTATTAATTTCTTGTCAAAGGGGGTTGCATTTTTGTATATTTCATGTGTACGTATAAATATTTTTATAGGGAATGAAAAAGACTCGAGTAGATGCAAAAAAAATTGGTCCTCTTAAATTGGCTGCCCTAAATGGACTCTCCCTTTCTCGACTGCCTCTGCCTGATGAAGGGAAGGAAGTACCTGCCAGAGCAACGAATGACGAAAGGGTACGTGAGGGACTCATGGGGCTGTTTGCCTTCCTGGGGATGAAGGGCAGATACTACAAAAATACCTTTGCGAGATTTTGGTGAATTTTCTAACATGATGTAATAATCATAAATGGGTATTAAGGGATTTTATAATGTGGGTCTCAGAATCGGGGCAAGTGTATAGCTAATGTCCTAATTGATAATTTCAGGCTTAAATGTTGATTAATTTTTTGTTTCTGAATATTCTTCTTTACCTTCTTATGAGTATACAGAGGAAAGGAATGACTGCTTTCATTCCAGACAACAGTTACTAAGTTTTTCAAAGCTTCCTTTGTGACTGAGATATATTTTCTATAAGAGTTTATCAAAAGCACACAGGCATGAATTTGTTTTACAACTGGATCCTGGAGGCAGTTTCCCGTATTTCCTACCACTTTCAGTCTTTCATATGTCATACATTATAAATTGAAGCATTTGTTCAAAGATGTTGGAACTGATTATCCTTCCTGTGGATTTACTGTTCTCTAGTAGAATTCTGTTTGTTATAGGTCACAAAATTGACCACAGATTTAGAGATGAATTGGACAGATTGCTTTAGACCAATTTTTAACTTCAAACAAAATTTTGCAATATAGTTCTCACCAATAAAATTATGTCTTTGTTCTTTTAAATTGTATCGTTGTGGCTTGTTAACATTTAACTTTGGTTTCACCTAGAATTTTCAATATTTGATAATGCTAGACTTGAAGCAGAAAACAAGACTTCAGTTGTGCAGTCAAAATACAGCTGTGATGTGGCTATCCTCATATTCCTCCATATATTCTTTTTTACAGTGTAAAATTCTGGAACAACGGTTAGAACAGGGAATGGTATTCACAGAATATGAAAGAATTCTTAAAAAACGGCTAGTTGACAGTGAGTGCTCAACAGCACGACTCCCTGAAAATGCAGAGAGAAATCGATTCCAAGATGTTCTTCCCTATGATGATGCTAGAGTGGAGTTGGTCCCAACTAAAGAAAACAATACTGGCTACATCAATGCATCGCATATTAAGGTAGGAGGAAAGTATACAGTAATAAGCAGCACATGCAGTTTTGATAAGTTACAAGAACGGTATACATTTTAAAGTTTGTTTTTATTCATTTTTTTGATTTGTTTTTTTAATAAACACCCTAGTTTTGAGCCATTGTGATAAACCAAACCGTATTACACCTGAGGAATCCATACAGCGGTGCTAAAGTGTTTCTCTGACAGGCAGGGTCATGTCTACTCTTTCCATGTGGTAAATCCCTCTGCCCTCAACACCGTTCCCAGGGCTCAGGGAGCACTTGTTTGCCTGCTTTAGAACTTTGTCCCTCTATATCTGAAGACCTCTTTCTAGCTCTCAGGAGCCACTAAATTGTTAGTTTTACCTCATCACATACCTATATGTCTTTTTATGTAACAAAAATGTCTGGGCTTTTTTTTGATGGTGTTCACAAAAGTTTTTACTTATGAAGGTGCCATCTGTTCTTTGTATATTCCCTGTAATCATTTTTAAATATCATTTTCATTTTGTTCTTTTTTTTTTTTGAGACAGAGTCTCACTTTGTTGCCCAAGCTAGGGTGAGTGCCGTGGCGTCAGCCTAGCTCACAGCAACCTCACACTCCTGGGCTCAGGCGATCCTCCTGTCTCAGCCTTCCGAGTAGCTGGGACTACAGGAATGCGCCACCATGCCTGGCTAATTTTTTCTATATATATTAGTTGGCTAATTAATTTCTTTCTATTTTCAGTAGAGACAGGGTCTCACTCTTGCTCAGGCTAGTTTCGAACTCCTGACCTCAAGCAATCCACCTGCCTCGGCCTCCCCAAGTGCTAGGATTACAGGCGTGAGCCACCACGCCTGGCCCACATTTTGTTCTTTGAAGAAGCATTTATTTCCCAGAAACAGTATAATGCCATTTAACTGGAGTAATATTTATGGTGAAAGATAGGGGGCTAGTTTCATTTTTCTGCATATGGACATCCCGTTTCCCAGCACCATTAAGAGGCTGTCGTTTCCCCAGTGTACATTCTTGGCATCTTAACTGGGGTCAAGTGAATGCCCATTAAAATGGACAAGCGATGGTTTACAACAGGTGGTTGAGTAAAGCCAGATGTTCTCTCTTCTCCATCATTGTACCCCTTGTTCATGCTGGCTAGATGCAATTCTAAATTTTTGGGAAGGAGAAATCTTATAGTAAGTAAAATGTCTGTGGACACGTGTTTTTCTTCTTTTCTGCATTTTCTCTGGTTTGCAAGTAATATTTGATAAGAGAACAATCTGATACCTGAGGCTCTCTGAAGACCTTGCAGTCTGCCTATGAATGCTAGTACTCCTTGATGGTTTTTGGTAATTTATGCATGTTCCATTCTGTTTTTAATATGGACATAATTTATTTAAAAACCAAGCATTTTTTTTCCAGGAAAGATAAATTTATTAGCAATTTCCGAAATTCACTTTAAGTTGCAAATGCAAAGGCTAGGATGGTGTCCCCTTTGTTGGTCAACACTGCACTAGTGTTGAAAAATCAATACTCAACCTCGGAAAGATCATTCTCACATCCAAACCTGCAGTTACTCTTGATTACATCAATTGCCATTTTTTTTTTATTTCGGCATATTATGGGGGTACAGATTTTAAGAAAAACCAAGCATTTCTTTGGAGTAACTCACCCAGTCTTTTATGACTGAATGGATATTTCAAAATCTTCAGAGGCAACCTGACAAATAGTGGAAAGAGTCTGAGTTTCAGAATTAGATGGGGTCTGACTCCTAGGTCTGCCACTCACCAGTTGTGTAGGACCTCTTCTTGCCTCTAAATAAAGAAATGGTGATACCTACCCCAAAGGCTTCCCTCTAGACCTTTCCTCACTAGTACTTGTTCGCTGGTAATGACCTGGTATACACCCACCTTCAGTGTCTGCCACCGAGTGGGCGCTCAGTGAGAGGATATGGAGCCGTGCTTGGGAGGCTGGCAGCCCTGAGGGAGAGTGTGTGTGGAACAGGGCTTGGCTATTATGGAGAGTGATCTTAACTCGGAGGTCTAGAGGTGAGGCTGGGTGCTGTGTCTCATGCCTGTAATCCCAGAACTTTGGGATGCCAAGGCGGGAGGATTATTTGAGACCAGAAGTTTGAGACCAGCCCAGGCAACATAGCGAGTCCCCATCTCTACAAAAAAAATTTTTTTTAATTAGCTGGGTGTGGTGGTGGCATACCTGTAGTCCCAGCTACTCAGGAGGCTGAGGGGGGAGGATTGCTTGTTGACTATGATTGTGCCATTTCACTCTACCCTCTTAAAAAAAAAATTTTTTTAGAGATGAGACTACCTTAGATAGGAAGATATATTTTTTCCTAGAAATCTGACATTAGCTTCGGTTTTTAGTTTCATTGCTAATATTTTTTCCAACATGCTTAGTATTTCATGAAGGGAAATGGTTTAAAATTTGGGGTACAGTGATGTTGGTATTAGTTTTATAAGAAAAGGAGCTATAGTAGTAAGAACAGCTACTCACTGAGTACTAATGTTCCAGGCACTGTTTATACTGACTCAAATACAACAGCCCTTAAGGGCAGGCAATTTTTTTATAAATGAGAAGTGAGATTCAAAGAGATTAAGCAGATTGCCCCAGTTACATAGATATTATATTTATTCACTATACATAAATTTATAAAGATGTCAGTAATGGAATTGTATTGACAAGGGAAAAGATTAAAAGTCCTTCCTTATTCTGGTGAATAATTTACTTTTTTAGTACTACCATGAATGCATATATACATATATCTTATACACACATAGCAATTTTTTAACCTTTCCTAATTTCAGGTCTCTGTCAGTGGAATCGAGTGGGATTATATTGCCACACAGGGACCATTACAGAATACCTGTCAGGATTTTTGGCAGATGGTTTGGGAACAGGGAATTGCAATTATAGCAATGGTGACAGCAGAAGAGGTACGTACTCATTTCTCTTAATTGATTTTCCTCAGCTTTCAAAGAATAGTTAATAGAATCCCTGGAATCCTGACCTTTAGCGAAAAAGGCAGGGTAGGATTACAGCCTGAGTTTGAGATGCTGTCTGTGTGAAAGGACACTATTGCTGGCGCTTGTGATGTTTAATTGTACTTGTCTTTAACAGGAGGGTGGAAGGGAGAAGAGCTTTAGGTACTGGCCACGACTTGGTTCCAGGCACAACACCGTCACCTATGGAAGGTTTAAGATCACAACCCGGTTCCGCACAGACTCTGGTTGCTATGCCACCACAGGCTTGAAGATGAAGCACCTTCTCACGGGGCAGGAGAGGACAGTGTGGCATCTGCAGTACACAGATTGGCCTGAGCATGGCTGTCCAGAAGACATCAAGGGGTTTTTGTGTGAGTGTCTTTGTTCCCACGACAGCCTCCTCTGGAGTGTTAAACAGAGAATAAGACTTAGGTTCTGAAGGATTTTATGTTGTCTCATTTAAGCTTTGGACTTGTTTTAAAATAAAGAATATATCTGAGACATGGTTTGGTTATCTTAAAAAAAAAAAAAAAAGAATATAAATGTTTTGAGGAGGCTTAACAGAAGAAATTTGGAAGGTGTCATTTGAACGCTGTGATTCTCAGGAGCTCCCCCATTTTGTGGATAGACAGGGCATGTCCTGCAGAGGTGATGACTCGCCCACAGCCACACTGGCCCCTAGCGGTCGCATTGGTTAGTCGGCACCTAGTGCTCTTGATCTGCAGTCTTCCCAGTCAGTGGAGAGAACATGAAAACTGAGCTGTCAATTTGATATGCTTTAATCCCTGAGTATTTTTCTATTTCATTGGTTTTTCACAGCATACCTTGAAGAGATCCAATCTGTTCGACGCCATACAAATAGTACAAGTGAACCCAAAAGCCCCAACCCTCCGTTGCTGGTCCACTGCAGTGCTGGAGTAGGAAGGACTGGTGTTGTCATTTTGTCAGAGATAATGATTGCCTGTCTGGAACACAATGAGGTGATGACTCTTATGCTAAGCCTGACCTTTTGTGTTGGGAATAAGGCTTGGGAAGAGAGGGAAGTAATGACCTAATAGCTCTCTTTCAACACATTTGCTTGGACTATGGAGGCCTCAAGATGTTATTAAGTGCTCCTTGCAAAAGGTTGTATCTTCTTAGAGATTCTCAATACCTATTAGCATATGAAATACCATGAGAAGTCATATAATAAATAAAGCTGTTTAATTTTGTTTTACTCAGTGTTTTTCAAACTTGAGCTCAAAACCCCTTTTTCCTGGAATAACTATTAACTTTTCAAGGACAGTTAGTGTGGTAGCCCCATGTGGGACGTACTGAGCTGACACTTGACAGCACTTAGCACACCGCGTTTTTGTTGAATCTTGGGATTTGGTGAGATGTGGTCATTTACATCCCACCAGACAAAGCCAAGGAGCTACACCCAAGGAATTTTGAAGAAATAGTCCGCATGACCTTCTATTTATGGTTAAAACTTATCAGAAGTAGGCAGTCACAGGTTATTTATGGAGATGCTAAGGTAGAAAAGAGACTGTCTGCTAACCAGATTTCTGCTAGGACACCAGCTTTCCCCGTCTTGTCTCTCCCCAGGGGAACACATTACCTTCATCCCTGTTTGTCTCATCCTAGGTGCTGGACATCCCGAGAGTGCTGGACATGCTGAGGCAGCAGAGGATGATGCTGGTGCAGACCCTCTGCCAGTACACATTTGTGTACAGAGTTCTCATTCAGTTCCTGAAAAGCTCCAGGCTCATCTAAGCTCCCACACTTGTTATGGGGACCCAATCATGTGAAGCGTTTACAGCTAAAAAAAAAAAAAAAAAAGAAGTGCTTGCCTAACTCATACTTGCCTTCCCTCCACACTTGACCCGGGCAACGACACTTGACCTGGGCAACGCTACTTTGGGACATAAATGATGCGGTGTGAATGGCAGTGCACTGAAGGAAATATGCAAAGCACAAGGGCAAAGAGGGGCTTTTTAGCCTGGGGGAGGTGCTGAAGGAGGACTTGGTTTTGAGGCCATTGATCTGCTCCGGTCTGTCCGATTTGCAATACTTGCACACATTTTGGAGATTTTGTACACAATTCTCTATTTTACTGAAGCTATGCTGGGCAATTCTGGCAATCATTAAAGCACATAGATTTCTATCTTAAACTAGTTTTTGATAATGGAATTTTATGACTAAAATATTTAGGGATTTTCTTAGCAAGAAACTGAACTTTCCATGGGGATGATCCACAAATATGAGTGGTTCCTGTCTAACTTTGTATTTAAAACCATGCTATTATCTTTTGTTATTTTTTAAAAACCTTGTTACCAAACTGAAAAGTATAAGGAGAATCTACAAGTGTTATTTTGAAACATGGAAAGCATTTTTATATCCAGAAATTTTTTTTATCCTAAAAATTCTATATAGTTGTACCTTCTATATTTTCCACACAGGAGCTCAACTCATTAAGGTACTGAAATGAGTCAGTTAATGTAAAGGAAAGTTGTGAATGAAGGCACATTATTTAAAATGTAAGAAAATAATCAAATTCACTATTTTTTCAGTATTATTCATAAACCTAAATGAGTTTGATTTATTGGTTAAAAATGAAGTGAAAAACAATTGCCTAGGGTGGTTTTGAGCACTTTTTTGTTGAAAACAAATATGAGTTTTAATATATGTGCTGCTTTATAGATGAAACAACAATGGACATTATTTCAGAAGGAGTATTTTGGATGAGATAAGGATTAAGAATATGTGAGATGGGTAGGACAAGAGTACGTGGAGTGTGATGGTAAATGCAGGGTGCCTTTGTCTTTACCAAAATGCAGTATTGTCTATACTCAGACGGAGGTGCTGAGATGGGGAGAGTAGGGCTCAGGAGGGTGGGGGCTGACCCTCCCCCCAGCACTGTCCCCGGGGAATGCAAGACCTGTCATTGTCAGTGACTTTTTGTTTCCTGGAAGTTCTTCCACCTAAACCCGTATTATTTTTGTTTCATACGTAAGTTCAGGCTTATATTATCATTAAGAGAAGCCTTGAAGAGGCTTTAATAGTTTTCACCTCTTCTCCTAAAACTACAGCCCAAATTTGTGGGGTTACCAGAGATTGCTGTGGTATTCAAGAGGATTTTATCTCTTGAATCCCTTAACTCTACCCCTGGGGTCAATTTTAGCTATTTCGTTTCCTCTCCCCATCCCATGTAGGTACATCCTAATGGACAGAGGGTGAAGAGTGTCTTTGGCCCCAGGCTAAGATGGGCTTGTCACAGTTCCTGTTGAATAAGTAAGGAGGAAGCTATACTTTTAATCTTCTTTTTCCTTCTTTTTAGGCAGTTTCCTTACAATGGAGAGCTTCCAAAATGTCATATCTTGGGCTATTTTCCCAGTTTACAATATTCAAGGCATCATTCTGATTTTCCATATCACTCCTAGGCTCTAAATGTTTGTTGTTAGCTATGCAACTGGATCTCCTACATACTGTGTGCGCCAGCCTAACTCTGATTTACCCAGAAACCAACCACCTAAGAGGGAAAATCAGAAAATATTGATGAAAATAATATTGAAAGTTGGGCACACATTTCACTTAGGAACAAAATATTAACTTTAGATCTAAAATACTTTTAAAGGTCCTGTTTAAAGAACAATAGACCCAATAAAAATATTCAGAAAGAGCTCCCCAGAAGAATAGAGTAAGAGTTTTATGGTAATATTTCCCATCTCAACACTATATAAAAGACAGCAATTTTTCTGATGCTTTTTTTTTTCCAATGGTACGTTTTTTAAAAATGCTTTTCTGTCAGGTTTAAACATTTTGAAGTGTCCCATTGACAAGAACATTGTAAAACAAAAATCTAATTAAAGAGTAATATATGGTATATTTGTGTTCCTGTTGTAATAATTTGTTAAGTAAATTTTTGAGGGCAAAATTGTACTGCTTAAATGTCGCTCTTAAAATGTCACATTTGACATTGTTTCTAAGAGCTAAATAATTTTAAACTTTTAATTGCAGTTAACTAATATGAAGGCATTTCTGAGTAAAAATCTACGTTGTTGGAGTTTGAAATGTGATTTTTCAAGAGCAAACTGTGGAACATTGAGGTTTCATAGGTTTGTCATTTCTGAATTAAGGATGTTACTTTTTGCCAAACTTATATGATGCTTCATGTATCTTAGTGACTTTGTTCCTGAATCTTAATTTCATATCAAAATTATATAAATGTACATTTCCACAAAAAGGTTATAATACAGTGTTTTCCACTGATCAACTTTGGTACCTCTGGCATCAGTTTTCCTGATTAGTGGAGTCTTCTGATTAAATATTTGGTTGACAGTATTGAGCACCAAAAGTGCTTATTTCAGAATATTATTTGGAAAGTTAATTGCAGTCATTATATTCTTCTGGAACATCTACTGTGAAGTATTCAGAAAGCCCTAGAATTTAGTCTTTAAAATTCTTTGGCAGGATTAAAACAGAAGCTGGGCCTGTACTTCCTTAGAAACTTCCAGAAAGCAAAGCAACATGTAGCCAGAAACGGAGGCAGGAGGAGAATGTGATGGTGTGGCACTGAGTGATGACAGCAGGGCATGGCCAGTTTTTCTGTGAAGCTTTCACCATCAGAATAGTCATTTCAAATAGGTTGATGTTAATGTTCACAATATTGAGAGAATTTAAATATTTAACATAGTTATATATATATTTAAATATATCAAATGAGGTTAGCTACAACTTATCAAGAATGGTTTGAGATTTACATGAACAAATGGAAATAGGAATTGTTTATTGTAAATTGTTTCTTAAATTGGACTTTTTAAAAGAACTCTTTTGGATAGAAATTTAGAGGAATTTGCTTCCCAGAAAGCTTTTATGCTGAACAAGCTAAAACTACCCCTTTCCAGTTTATTTTTTAAAAAGAAATAGCAGGGAGCTCTTATTTTAAACTGAGGGATAGACTTTTCAAAAGTGGAATAATGGCTTCATTAAGAATTTGCCTGGGAAAACATTTCTCAAAAGAATAAAAGTTTTTCAAATTCCTGTCGACAAGGCTCCATTTACCCTACTATCTATAATTACTTAATAGAAAAATGAGAAAAAATGAGGAAGTCCAGTTTAAAGTTTGCATAGGGATTTTAGAAAACACTCGAAGGGGCCCTTGGATTATAAGTGGCATAGTTTTCTATTTCAGGTAGTTCCCAAATAAAAATGCTCTAAAGATTCACTTGTATGTTGCATTTAAATATAGTAATATTTACCCTCTTAAGAGATGCTGTTGGTGTTAACTTAGTTTGTCCTCCCCAAAACTTATCGAAACCATAGGGGACATGAAAGGGTAACATCCTAGGGTACAAAAACCAGATTGCTATACAGAATTCTGGACTCCAGGAAAATATATGGCAACTTTTCTCCCTACTGCACTCTGGTGGTGAGATCAGAGAATAAATTCTCCCTGCTTCTGCCAGGCAGTGTCCACTAAGGCTCAGAAAGCAATTTAAGTCAGACTGGTCAGTATTTCATGGGAAGACTTCACAGAAGTGAATATCCCAGCATTTGTTGCAGGAAGTTGAGTGGGTATGTGTGTAAGGAACAGAGCGAGGTTTATGATGAAGCAAGTAGGGATGCTGCCTATGAAACTGGTAAAGGATGGGCCAAGAAGGAAGTTTAAGGTCTGCATCACTCAGCGAGGGGAGAGCAGTTCCAGGGCAAATATTATGTAAAGTGTATCTCCAGGTCACATACAAGTAAAGTTAAAGTATGCCTGCACATCATTTTCCCAAAAATGTTTAAATATGTGTATTTGAAAAAATACTTAGTTTTCAAAATTCTAGAGTACATCTAAACATTTTCCAACATTGATGGTTAAGAAAGGTATAGTAGCCATATACTTTTCCGTTATGCTTTAATGTATTAACAAGTGCAAATGGATGACAAGACAGGAATAATTGTGTTTTAACTTATAACTATAGAACTTCTAACAGTATGGCTGATGTACTGTTCCAAATTTCTGAAAGTTACTTATTAGCTAGATGAATGTTTTGATCACTATTCCTTCCATTAAATCATTTTGTGTTATGTAAAATAAGAGGATCATTAAAAATTGATAAAATCCCTTGGCTTTGAATCTACAATGTGGTATACCTGCACTGGCTATAGCAGTACACAAGTCACATGGTTGCAAAACACAACCTGCAATTTTAACTGAACTGGCAGGTGGTTTTTAAACTGCAAAAAAGACTACATACTTTAAGTTGTCAAATGTGAATACTACTGACATTTAAGTGTGCATGTGTATTTTAAATTTGTATTTTCTAAAAACTTGGTGAAATAAACATCTACAGTGTTCACTCTTAGGAACATATCTACACTGCCGAAGAAATTCAGAAGGTTGGATTAATATCTGGGTTAGCCAGAATATGAATCCATTGAGCCTCAATTTTGAGGGTAGGTTGATGGGACTAGTACAGGTTTAATAACTAGTTTTCTGTTTCTCTGTCTGTTCATTCATCAGCTGAGAAAACTGAACAAATGAATGAAGAATATAAACTAAATCACTTATTTTTCATATGATAAGAGACTGTCCAAATTTTTTTATCTTGGAAGTTTATTAGAAATCACTTGAAATTCATGACTGAATTAGACAAATCTTTTGGTACTTAATATTTATTGAAATGTAATTTAATCTTAGAGTTAAGTGTCCTGAAAGGATTTTGGTAAGGTTTTGTAGTTTTACTAGAATAATACCAGTGCAACCCTGGTTCAGTCCAACAAATAGCAAAAAAAAGTAAATATTCTCCAGAGGTGACAAATTTATTTTTGAACAGATTTAGTAAAAATGAGATTAAAAATACAAAACCTTTAAATCCATCTGAGTAAAAAAGGTAAAAGAAAAAAAATGTAAGAAAAAATACTATAATTTGCAACCACTTGGTAGAATTCTACTGGGAGTTTTGTTTGCATGGTTTGGTTTTTGTGGCACAATGTAGAAACTGAGGAGATAGTTATTTTGTAGGGATGATTCTTAATGTTTTTGAAAATTTTAATATCAGTTTAGACCCTCTCTCCATATTTGGTAAAATTTCTATATTAAGGGTAAGCAGCTTAATTTCCAGTAGAATTGAGCTATTACATATTTATCAGCAGACTCAATTTCTAAGCAATACATTGAAAATGGGACAAAAATTGAAATCTGTAATTATGTTGAGACTTTAAAAAACTCAGATGTAGTCAAACTTTACTGAAAACATTGGCATTGAGCTCAATGAAGTATTTTTGCTTTATACTGTATTTTCAAATAATTTTTTATATTAAAATATAAGATTTTATCATGCAGATGTTGTTACAGGTCAAGTGAATATTTTCTATGAAGTCATCTCAATGTTTTCATCTATTGTACTATTAAGAGGGGAAAGTTTTGATTTATAACAGAGCTTTTTAGTACAGATGAAGGAAGAATCACACTGTAACAAACGAGAAATTTGTTGTATATTTCTGTGTTGGTTTTGTTTGAAGCAATCCAAACTCTAACCATAATAAATTTAGCAAAATATAGTTTAAAAAATCTAAATAGCAAGTCTATTTAAATAAAAATTCCAAAAGAGGTTAATATGATTTAATATGCCTGACAAACCTAAAACCAAAATTTGGAGAAAATTTTATATGAAATACATTTTCCTAGAAAGTTGCCCTATAATTCAAGCAATGCACTGGGAATTCTACTTTTCCAAACTGGTAGTATAAATACTTATCTAGCATTTTCTAATTTAAAAAGCAATTTTATGTGCCATTGTCTGATGGTCAATAATGTAAAAATGTATAATCAGAAACTTAATCCTAAATTTATTGGTTTGTAAAGGTGTGTACATTTAATGGGCAAAAAAGCTTGAATGGTTGAATGTAATATATGTAAAATGAATATATTTTTGCCATGAAAATAAATATTTGAAGCAAGATATGATTTGTGTGAATAGTGCAATTAAAACTATTTTGCCTCTTTTTTCACTGTAGATTTTATTGTATGGAGGTATATAATTAAATTAATCCCATTTCCCTATTGGATTATTTTTAATGATGTGCTAGACAAGAAGTATTTTTTAGTAGTTGCCAATCTGTCATCTTACATCTCCACAGTAATCAATCGCTTAAGAGTTAGAATGCAGGCAGTGTGTGGTGGCTCACGCCTATAATCCTAGCACTCCAGAGGCGGGCGGATTGTTCGAGGTCAGGAGTTCAAAACCAGCATGAGCGAGACCCCGTCTCTACTAAAAATGGAAAGAAATTGACGAACTAAAAATATATATACAAAAAATTAGCCGGCCATGGTGGTGCATGCCTGTAGTCCCAGCTACTCGGGAGGCTGAGGCAGCAGGATCACTTGAGCCCAGGAGTTTGAGGTTGCTGTGAGCTAGGCTGATGCCACAGCACTCACTCTAGTCTGGGCAACAAAATGAGACTCTGTCTCAAAAAAAAAGTTAGACTGCATCTTGCCAAAACAGCCAGCTTCATCAATCAAGATGTTTGTGGACCAATTAATACACTTGAATAAATATTTATATACTTACCAATAACTTTGCAGTGAGTTGGCAGAGCTCCTCATGTGGCCATCCCTGTACCGGAACTTACTACTAGTTGAGTGTCCACTTTATTCATCTTTTAGCGGGTTTGTTTTAGGCCCAGAAGTGGCAGCAGCATCTGGAATCTTGTTAGAAATGCAAAATCTTGGGCCCTACCCCAGATCTGAAAGTTCTGAGTCAGAAGCTATGGGGATGGGCCCGAAAATTTGCCTCAAGTTCTCCAGGGGATTCTGGTACACATTAAAGTTTGAGAACTGCTTTAGTAATGAAAAAGCCATAGATGTTTAATATGGAATCCAGTTTGGGATTTATTCAATTAATACACACTAAAATTTATTTATGTAATTTCTATTAGGTTAATGATATTTATAGTTGTGGTAGGTTGGATAATGGTCCCTTAAGAGATGTCCATGTCCTACTCCCCTGAAGTTCTATTATCTTACATGGCAAAGGGGACTCTTCAGATAGGATTAAAGATCTTACAATGTGGAGATTATCCTGGATTATTCAGTTGGGCTCAAAGTAATCACAGGGTCTTTATAATTTATGAGAGATTATAAGATGCTATATAGCTGACCTGGGAGATGGAGGCAGAAGCCACAGTGAAGGAATGCAGCCACCTTCTGGAAGCTCGTAAAGGCAAGGAAACACTCTCCCCTAGAGCCTGCCTCCAGAGGAATGCAGCCCCAGAAATACCTTGATTTTAGGACTTCTGACTTTCAGAACTGTAAGATAACTTTTTTCTTTTTAAGTTTGTGATAACTTGTTATAGCAGCAATAAGAAACTTACACAACTCTATATATTCCTTTCTCAAGAAAAACTCGACGGTCAACTCACCTGTTCTTAGGATTTTGGAAGAATTATGTGAATATGGAAACCACACATCCAGGACTGCTAAGTGTTTTTGCCTCAAAATTCAAATGTTAGCACAAAACCGAATGCCCACAGCAACAAGACTGGCCATGGGGGAGCAAAACTTTCCTTACCACAATCCAAAAACGTCTTCCCCCAGTCTTTGAATTACACATACAGATTTGCTCCTTAGGACGTGCCATTCATTATTGGTTGCATCTGGCTGGCTACTGGAGACGGTAACTTGTTAGGGCAGCATCTTTTAGCACTGGTGTGAATCAATTTAGCAGATTACTTTCCAGTACTACACCAGCACATGAAGGGTGAATGGATATTTCTACTTCTACATGTAAATTAATTTCAGTTTTAATTTCAGACCCAAGACTTAAGCTAAAGCTAATTCTGGCATATTAAGGCAAAATAAATCTTTTGATCATCCAGTCCAAGCTCTTTAAAACCAAGGTGCAGGATAAAGTAATTCATTGGCAACAATACAACTAGTTAGTTCACTTGGCAAAGTAGACTCTTGTCCCATAAAAGCAGCTTTGATCTTTTCTGATTGGCTTCATTGAGGGAAAAAAATTGTGACTTTTTAAAGGAAGCCATCTAAGATGGATGCTAATTTATATTTTATGCTATTGAAAATGTGAGCAAATGAGGAAATTTTCATGTAACTTAGCAATTTGCTGCATTAATCTTTTTACACTGGGG